TTTCTATCATTTTATTAAAATTGGCATGAAATTTCTCATCTAGTATTTCAAGCCTCCAACTGTGAGCTGTATTCAGCTATCATTTATTTCATCAACAAAAAAGATAAAACCAGGAAATAAAATGTGTGTGAGAGAGTCCAGTTGATTGTTTCTTTTACTCTTAATTAACTCCCTTCCCTGTGCCCCTGTCCTGAAACTTTCTGCATTTTTTTCCCTCAGTATTTTTTTTTTGAAATGGAGTCTTGCTCTGTTACTCAGGCTGGGTTGCAGTGGCGTAATCTTGGCTCACTGCAGCCTCTGCCCCCCGGGTTCCTGTGATTCTCCTGCCTCAGCCTCCTGAGTAGCTAAGTTTACAGGCATACACCACCACGCCTGGCTAATTTTTGTATTTTTGGTAGAAAAGGGTTTCTCCATATTGGTCAGGCTGGTCTCGAACTCCTGATCTCGGGTGATCTGCCCTCCTTGGCCTCCTGAAGTGCTGGGATTACAGGCATGAGCCACCATGTCCAGCCCCTCAGTCTTTAGTATACTAATTTTAAATGTGCAAATGGGGTCACCAGGTTAGAGAAGAACCATACCAGGGAAGAACCATATCATGTATCCCACTGATAAGTTCTGCTTATGGAGCTAATGTCTTTCACTGAAGCTGTTTCCAATGTAACTTGATGTAGCATTTAGGATAGTCTCATCATGGAGCACCACTATCTCAGTTGGCTGATACCTGTTTCTTCTAAGAGGAGAATCAGGTAGGTTTTCCTAAAGCACCTTTGGGAAATTGTGCCATTCAGACAGCCGTGTTGTGCTCATACATCCAGAAGGTCTTGCTGGTTATGCACTGACTCTTCGTGTCCTACATTCCTGTGTATTTGCTAGCAGGATGGAATGATGGCTCACTGAAAACTGAAGATGACATAGAAGATGACAAGGGAGAAGAGCAAGTCATGCTCAGTAATGATAGGAAGATGGGCAAAATGTGGTGATCTCACAGGTTTCCATGCCTTAGCTCAGCTCTGATGAAGAGACTCATGGTCATACAGTCTCTTCAGATGATCACAGAGAAAAAGATGGTGACAGAGAGGCAGATGTTTTACTGTTTCCACTTCTGGAACTTGTAGCAAGGTATGAAGAGAGTCAGCACCAGAAAAGATACAGAGTATCGTGTCTGCAGTGGATGAAGCCATCAAAACATGGCTTCTCTTCACCACCAGACAGCACTGACCAACCTATGGCAATAAGTCCCACAGACCAGAATTATACCCATCAAATGCCCCACTCACCATATGTCAGCTCAGAGAACTCTCACAGTGGTGAATTGGTCTCTTTATCCACCAAACCTGATCCCTATAGGCAGGAGAGGCCCAGTACCGAGATGATCATCCAATATAATCTGCACACTGCAGTGAGGATGGAGGCCCGCCCTAAGAGGCCACAACCCTCAGGAAGGCAATGCAGTAAAGGGCTTCTTCTCTCTTTGTCCTGATGAATGGGAATTGCACCAGGAAGATGAACACTAGGAGTAGATGATCAGAGCCTCAGTCCAGTCACTATCTCCACTATGATGACCCAGATGGGCAAACCTTCTGAAGGAAAAGGTCAAAGCAACATCCTGGGTGGCTGGCATTTTCTGAATCTCTATAGGTCATCACAAAGTATAGCAGGAATGGGAGTATTTGGTGCACTTTGATTTTGCAGTTGGCTCTGATGGCCAAGAGACTCAGGGCCAAAACTTCCTCTGACTCAAGGTCCAGGTCATATTTCTGCAGCACGGCTTTGACCCTCACCCCACCTGCACCCACTAGCACAATCTCCAGTAATATTTTCAAATGATTACTAACATCAGGTTATAAATACTTTTTGTTTCTAATGTGAGCTATATTTTTAAAATATAAAATGTCTTTTTTATGTTAATATGGTACATTTTCCAGGATAAAATGGGCTGTGCTGTAATGGCAAATAAACCCTCCCAGTCTCAGTGGCTGGCCTCCTCAACATTTATTTCTTGCTCATAGGGTCTGCCGTGAGACCAGAGACTCTCCAGAGCAGCTCCCCTTCCACCTTTGCCCAGGAAATAGAACATGTGCATAACTGAGAGAAAAACAGTGTAGAAAAACAAGATGATTTCCTAGAGGATGGCTGAAGTGCTTTGCTAGCATTAGTCCATATGATAAAAAGTAGGGGAGAACATTCTATTTCTTTAATCATCTAAGAGACAGAGTATTCACTTAGAGTCCAATATTTAAACTATTTCTTTGCCTCTTGAATTAAAAGACCTTAATAACATGAATTCATAACTGAAATATAGATATAAACCTATCACAGTTTGGCACAACAGTTTTTATTTCCTCTTGAAATACCAAAGCTGTTTTCTCATGTAACTTGTATATGTGTGTGTGTGTGTGTGTGTGTATATATATATACTTGTATATGTGTGTGTGTGTGTGTGTATATATATATATATGTGTGTGTATATATATATATGTGTGTGTATATATATATATATACACACATATTTTCAAGGACTGAAATTAATTTCAATGTCTTTAAAACACCAAATAGTATCATATTTCCTGTGAAATCGCTGATTACCTCAAAGGCAGCATTTTAGCATTCTTAGTTGCTTTAAAAGATTGTCAGCAGTGTATAGTAAATATTACATGAGACATTTAAAGAATAGTGCTTGCTTTCATCATTTAAAAATTTTAGTCAAGAAGAGGAAAGAGTAATTTCTTAGAATCAAAACTCCTTCATTGGGAAATCATTCATCTTGGAAAAAGCAGAAATATTTTAGCTAATAAAAAAATTTTAGGCTGGATGCGGTGGCTCACACCTGTAATCCCAGCACTTTGGAAGGCTGAGGCAGGTAGATCACGAGGTCAAAAGATCGAGACCATCCTGGCCAACATGGTGAAACCCCACCTCTACTAAAAATCAGAAGTTAGCTGGGCGTGGTGGTGTGTGCCTGTAGTCCTAGCTACTTAGTAGGCTGAGGCAGGAGAATTGCTTGAACCCAGGAGGCGGAGGTTGCAGTGAACAGAGATTGCGCCACTGCACTCCAGCCTGGCACCTGGCAACAGAGCAAGACTCTGTCTCAAAATAATAAAAATAAAAAACATTTTATTACTAGATTAGCATTGAAGAACTTGTAAAAGCCTCATTTGCATTAATTTCTTAAAGTCAAAGCCTTATATGTACCTTTGATTTTTATAAAATTTTAACTATGTGAAAATAAAATATTGAGCATTAAAAGTAAATAGAAAAAATAAAAACCAATGAAATAGAACACATACCAATAATAAAAGCTGTGCTGCCAATAGCTGATGCTTTGAAAAGATTATTAAAAACTGCGAAACACCTAGCAAGAGTACTTTTTTAAAAAGGAAAGCATTATCAATATCAAGAATGTAAAATGAGACATCATTACAGACCCTAGAGATACTACAAGGATTACAATAATATGTGCCGAACAACTTTATGGCAAGAAATTTGACAATTTAAATGAAATGCATTCATTTCAATTTTTCATGATATAGTCACTTGTAACTCTGGAGAGCCCACATAATTTATAAAGCAGCCATCTTCTAGCTTTGTGAGTTCTCTTTAAAAGAGGAACTGGAAGAGTCACAGTAAATGAATGGCATATGCTTTTCACCTTTATATGAGTAGAGAATAATCTGCTAGAGCTTGCAATGCTGAGGTTCAACAGAACAACTTCAGATATTATTACCAGCAGAGAAGATTAAACTTGGGTGTGACCCACAGCCTCACCACCCCTGAACATGCCTGATCTTGTCTGATCTTGGAAACTTGCATATGTTTTATGGCCTTATACCTAAATATGGCTAAGCAATATAGTTAGAACTCTAATATCATGTTGCCTCTTGGACCCATGAAATCAGGTGATAAATTTTGGTATACTGCTCCCACTTTTACTCCATATACACATAAACACTCATCTACACAAATTTCAAAGAATTAGTGAAGGTACATACACATTGATACATACCCTTACTCTCATATAGTCATGTCTTCTCTCTCCCTCACACATGCAGGTACACATACTCTAAAAATTCTTTCTAACTGCATCTTTCAATGCTACTTCAAAAGGGAAATTAATGTCTATGTATTTATAAAAATGTTTGACTTCACTATTGATTATCAGAGAGTATGCCCACTAAAATCCATTTATTCAAAATGAGGTATTTAGAAACTTGTCAATTAACTTATCCTTGTGACTAGTGACCAGCCCATAGCACATCTCTCGGGGAAAGAGTAAAAGCAGTAACTATGAAAACGTGTTACTAAAACTCAATTAGAAACCACTGACTAAAAAAAACTAATGTCATTATTTGAATTTATAAAACTAATTTATAATTTTGAATAATCTATTCCATACCTATAAATATATTATTTGAAAATGTAATTAGTTTTGTAAATGGTCTACACAATGGGTCAACCTGACTCTACAGAGACTTGACCTTGCTGACCTCAGGGTGTTTGTACTGGCAGAATAGGCTGTTTTCTTAAAATAATCTACATAAAATGTCTTGAATTAATCAGGATGAATAAATCAAAGCCTAATTTAGTTGTGTTTGTGCAATGCAGCAGAAGTGACAACAGTTATTGATAAAACATTATCATCCCTTATGTATTTATTCCTTAAGCTATACTATCTTTTAGAAATTTATAAAGCAATAGACATTCTACTTCATGTCCAGGGACCATTTTTTCTTTGTAAAATAATGGTAAATATAGTGTCTACACAATCAGTAGACATATGCTCTGATTTCCAAACCAAAATCTACTCACCAAAGTGATCTATCAAAGTCATCGCTTCAGTATAACACTATAATATTATGTGAGACTTAGCAAATGATAATATCAAAATTATGCCAAAAACGGCTAGTGATTTTGATGCAAAGCTGCATTTGGGAAATCCTGAAGTTATCTATGACTCTTAAAATAGTTGTTCATGACTCTGAAAGGAAGTCCACTGACCTTAGAGGAAGAACGCAGGTAGATGAATGAAACTTCCTGCAGTGCAAGGTTTTCTTGTTATCTTCCTTTACTGCGTGATTGCATCTCATTGCATCTCATCTCTTCCTCTGACAAAGCACTGAATATTGCATTTTAAGTTATCCTATCTCAGGCTAACTCCTGTTCATTGTTATCTAGAATGTTTACTTTTCTAAATAAGCTCTCTTTCTGGAAGGCGATAACTGCCATGCCTCATGCATTTCTACACATGGTAAAAAAAACCGCACATTTATCTGTGCCTCAGTGGTGGCTGCTTCATTTGAATTTACAGAAGTGTTCCGTTTTCATCAGAACAGTTGAGTGTGATTTTTTTTTATTAGCAAAATTACTTTATTCTGACAAATAGTTTAACACAAAAATACGAACTAGCCCTCCAAGGATGGTTGGGGTCTACGCTTCCCAACGCCTCAGTGTCCCGTGCATGAGGAAGGTGTCCTCTGAAGGGCGGGGCCGGAGCTGAAGCCGGAGAGGGGTCAGATCGTCCAGGGTCAGGTGTGGAGATTCATAAAATAGTGTTTCTGGGTCACACAAGATGGTCATGTCTGGCCCTGGCCGAGGTGGCTCCTTTGGGGCGGGGTTGAGACTGCGGCGGCAGGAGAGCCAATTTCTCCCCGAGCGAGGCATTCAGAACCGGTTCCTCCAGCACCTGCAGGCTCACCAGGTCTCGGAAGAGCCTCTTGGAGCGCGGCATGTTCGGCCCCTCGGACACGCTCTCCTCCAGGCCGCAGCGGATCTGGAACGACTTTTTCAGCTGTTCCTCCACGGCTTTCGCCGCACGGCTGCGGCTCTCAGACCCAAGGCCAGGCTGCTCTGCAGCGCGGCCATCTCTAGCTCCTGCGGCGCCGCGGGCTGTGGCTCGGACCGCACCGGGGAAGGTGGTGCCCGGCGGAAACCGACCTGCCGCCGCTGCCGACCGGCGCCCCGCCGCTCCGCCCGCCTCTTCCGCAGCCCAGGGCTGCCGTGCCGCGGCTCAGGGATGCCAGAGCGCGGACTCAGGCTCAAGTCCAGGCCGGGCTCGGGCACCGGGGGTCGAGGTTCCGGGACTCGGGGCTCCGGGGGTGGCCCCGGGACCGCCGCGGCTTCTTCCCCGTCCACCGACTCCAACTCTGAGTCCCCACACCCCATCATCTTTGGAGGTGCCTTGGGGATGCCGGGGTCTCAGGCAGTCCAAGGGTCAGGGTACACAGCCTCTGGCCACCTACTCCTCTCCCCCGCCCCTCCCAGACCGAGTGTGATTTTTAGTTCTCAATTGGATCTGTTCTACTTTTTGATTCTTCTTCTCCTCCTCCTCTTTCTTCTTCCTCTTTCCCTGCTCCCTTTCCGCACTCCTGCTTCCGTTTCTCCTCCTTTGCTGTCTACATCTCTTCCTCCTCCTCCTGATGGCTCTTTCTCTCTTCTTCCAGTCCTGTGTGTTAAAGCACTCCACCATGTCCAGAAAGGGGATGGGAAGAGGAAGACAATTATTAGGATTGTTTCTGTTTTTTCTAAATCATTAAAAATCACAAAATCTCAGATGCTGTCAAGGTCTTCAGGTTTTCTATCATTAATTAGTATTAAAAATACTTACACGCTGGCTGGGAGCGCGGGCTGGCGACGGCGAGGGAGGGCCTGGGCGCAGACAACCGGCTGGCGGTGCAGCTGCCATGGGCATGCAATGAGTGGCCTCTCAGGACAACTTTCTCGGCAGCGGCGTGGCGCTCGCGCGGAGCTCTCTGGCTGGAGGTGCGTCCCCTCCGTCACCATGAAAGGCGACTTCGCAGAGGAGGAGGAGGTGCAGTCCTTCGGTTACAAGTGGTTTGGTATTCAGGAAGGAACACAATGTACCAAACGTAAAAATAACTGGCACTGAAGTTTTCTATCATATTATTACACATTTTGTGTGCCTTGCTAACAATCACAGTAGCCATTTTGGGATATAAAGTTGTAGAGAAAATGGATAATGTCACAGGTGGCATGGAGACATCTCGCCAAACCTATGATGACAAGCTCATAGCAGTGGAAAGTGACCTGAAAAAATTAGGTGACTAAACTGGGAAGAAAGCTATTAACACCAACTCAGAACTCTCTACCTTCAGATCAGACATTCTAGATATTCGTCAGCAACTTCGTGAGATTACAGGAAAAAAAACTAGCAAGAACAAGGATATGCTGGAGAAGTTACAGGCTACCAGGGATGCACTGGTGGACAGGGAGTCAACTAAAAGAAACTTTGGAGAATAACTTCCCTCATCACCACTGTAAACAAAACCCTCCAGGCGTACAATGGCTATGTCACGAATCTGCAGCAAGATACCAGTGTGCTCCAGGGTAATCTGCAGAACCAAATGTATTCTCATAACGTGGTCATCATGAACCTCAACAACCTGAACCTGACCCAGGTACAGCAGAGGAACCTCATCATGAATCTGCAGCGGTCTGTGGATGACACAAGCCAGGCTATCCAGCAAATCAAGAATGACTTTCAAAATCTGCAGCAGGTTTTTCTTCAAGCCAAGAAGGACACAGATTGACTGAAGGAGGAAGTGCAAAGCTTGCAGATGCTGGCTACCAATAATTCTGCTTTGGCCAAAGCCAACAACAACACCCTGGAGGATATGAACAGCCAGCTCAACTCATTTACAGATCTGATGGAGAACATCACTATCTCTCAGGCCAACGAGCAGAACCTGAAAGACCTGCAGAACTTACACAAGGATGCAGAGAATAGAACGGCCATCAGGTTCAACCAACTGGAGGAACACTTCCAGCTCTTTGAGATGGATATTGTAAATATCATTAGCAATATCAGTTACACAGCCCACCACCTGGAGATGCTGACTAGCAATCTGAATGAAGTCAGGACCACTTGCATGGATACCCTAACCAAACACAAGGATGATCTGACTTCCTTGAATAATACCCTGGCCAACATCTGTTTGGATTCTGTTTCTCTCAGGATGCAACAAGATTTGATGAGAGTGAGATTAGACACTGAAGTAAGCAACTTATCAGTGATTATGGAAGAAATGAAGCTAGTAGACTCCAAGCATGGTCAGCTCATCAAGAATTTTACAATACTGCAAGGTCCACCCAGCCCCAGTGTCCAAAAGGTGACAGAGGATCCCAGGGACCCCCTGGTCCAACTGGCAACAAGGGACAGAAAGGAGAGAAGGGGGAACCTGGACCACCCGGCCCTGTGGGTGAGAGAGGCCCAATGGGACCAGTCGGTCCCCCTGGAGAGTGTGGCAGCAAAGGCTCTAAAGGCTCCCAGGGACCCAAAGACTCCTGTGGTTTCCCCAGGAAGCCCGGCCCCAGGGCCCCAGTGGTGACCCAGGCCCCCCAGGCCCACCGTGCAAAGAAGGACTCCCTGGCCCCCATGGCCCTCCTGGCTTCCAGGGACTACAGGGCACCATGGGGGAGCCTGGGGTGCCTGGACCTCGGGGACTGCCAGGTTTGCCTGGGGTACCAGGCATGCCAGGGCCCAAGGGTCTCCCTGACCCCCCAGCCCATCAGAAGCAGTGGTGCCCCTGGCCCTGCAGAATGAGCCCACCCCTGCACCAGAGGATAATGGCTGCCTGCCTCACTGGAAGAACTTCACAGACAAATGCTACTATTTTTCCGTTGAGAAAGAAATTTTTGAGGATGCAAAGCTTTTCTGTGAAGACAAGTGTTCACATCTCATTTTCATAAACACTAGAGAAGAACAGCAATGGATTAAAAAACAGATGGTAGGGAGAGAGAGCCACTGGATCTGCCTCAGACTCAGAGAATGAAAATGAATGGAAGTGGCTGGATGGGGCATCTCCAGACTACAAAAGTTGGAAAGCTGGACAGCCAGATAACTGGGGTCATGGCCATGGGCCAGGAGAAGACTGTGCTAGGTTGATTTATGCTGGGCAGTGGAACGATTTCCAGTCTGAAGACATCAATAACTTCATTTGTGAAAAAGACAGGGAGACAGTATTATCATCTGCATTATAACAGACTGTGATGGAATCACATGAGCAAATTTTCAGCCAGCTCTCAAAGGACAGTCCTTTCTAATTGCATCACCTTCTCATCAGATTGAAAAAAAAGCACTGAAAACCAATTACTGAAAAAAATTGACAGCTAGTGTTTTTTACCATCTGTCATTACCCAAAGACTTGGGAACTACAATGTTCCCCCAGTGTGATGTGCTGATTTTCAGTGTGCACATGGACTGAATCGCATAGACTTTCCTCCATCAGTAACTATGCAATTATGCAAATTACATCTTCCAAAGTATGGAGCACTCCAATCAGAAAAAGGCTATCATTGGTTGTTGAGCTATAGGAAAAACTTAAGCATATACTGTGTAAATAGTACCATACATTTCTTAAATCCCAAGTGTAGGAAAAATACGCAAACGTACAGATATATAGGCCAACTCCTAGTGATAATATGAAATATACTTAAAGAGCTTTTAAAACTTTGTATTTTTGTACAAAATATTTGCCTTTTATAATTTTTTCCTTTTTTTGTCATTTTACCAACATAATACATGGAGCCAAAGAAAACAATAATGGCACTAATAAAACTCATAGGGTTTCCTGTCAGATTTCATTCTACCCAGTGGCAAAGAATTTTTCCAATTGTGGTTTTAAAAAATAATTAAATATACATGTATATTAAAAAATACTTAAATGACAGGTCACTAGCATGGCTCAGCACTTTAAATTCCTACTAGAAACTGCATAAATCAGAAACTGTACAAATTGGAAACCACCAACTAACCTCAATAGGGGCATTCCACACTAACCAATCAGAATTGTTTTCTTTGTCTTGCTTCTGCAAATATTCAATCGAAGTTGCCCCTCTTGCCCCTCCTTATGGAGCGCTGACTGCTGTGGTCTGGTACTGCCCCACTCGAGAATCTTCAAATGGGCTGGGTGTGGTGGCTCATGTCTGTAATCTTTGGAAGGCCAAGATGGGTGAATCACCTGAGATCAGGAGTTCGAAACCAGCCTGTTCAACATGGTGAAACCCCATACCTACAAAAAATATAAAAATTAGATGGGCATGGTGGCAGGCACCTGTAATCCCAGCTACACAGGAGGCTGAGGCAGAAGAATTGCTTAAACTCAGGAGGCAGAGGTTGCAACAGTGAGCTGAACTCGAGCCATTGCACCTGGATGACAAGAAGGAAGCTCAGTCTCAAAATAAATAAATAAATAAATAAATAAATAGAACCTCTGAATGTTCAAATAAACTCTATTAAATTTCAGTGTTTAAGTTTTTCTCTTACCTTCAGGAAATCGATATTTTATGTGAAAAGAACTAGTTGGTGATTGCTTCTAGGAGAACTTCATTTTGCAGAAGATCCTCTAAGACTTACATAAACCCTTTAGGGGAGCTCCTGGGAGAGCTTGAGCCTCTCCTGATTCAGGTTCACTCTGGTGTGTTTACTCAGTCTTCTCTTTGCCCAGTTTGATAAGAGCATTGTTGAAAATGGAAGAATATCTTCAGCCGTGAGCTTACTTTGCAACATTCAGCTTCCTTTAGAGTTTCAGAAAGTTCCTAATTATCTTATAATGAACAAGAACTTTCCTATAAGAAATAGAAGGCATGCCATTTAGAAAAGACATAATAGACATTAACCCCAGAAATACCAAATGTTTTAAGAAGTCTCTAGACTCAGAAAAACCCAGGAGCCCTGTGGACTGAATGCTAATCATCTCCCTGACTTCTCCCCCGGAGGGGGGGAGGAATGCTAATCCCCTCTCCCCCTCCGGCACTGTAATGCCCTCCCTGCTTTCAGGCTCAACCTTCTAAAATTCTCTTTCCTGGCTGGATAAGTCTCCCATGAAGCCCCTGTCATCTCTTCACCACTCAGAGCTCTCCAGAACTCACACTGTACCCCAGGATTTAGATCAAATGTTGTTACTTACCAGTTAAAGGCCCACATGCTTGACCTAAAATCCCTCTAGTTATTTAGTGTTAGAAACCTATCACTAGGACCATTATTTTGCTGTTAGATCTATTTTTGGGGGAAATGCCTAATGTCAGGATTTTTATGACTTATCTTTATTGAGCTGGTCTAATCCCCACAGATGAATATTTTTGAATTCTCTTTTTAGAGGAAGGAAGCCCTATTGCCAGGATTCTAAAAGCTGAGCAGTGAGAAAAAGCTGGGAATCTAAGTTTTCAGTAAGTGCTTTGTTTTCAATATTGTCCCCTTTCCTCAATTGGTCCCAGTGATCTCCAGTGCACAGGCTTTCTGTTTCATCCTCTATGGAAAATGGACATTGTGTTCTTTATACAGAAATCAACATGGGGGGTTGTGTTCAACCACTCCTAAAGCACTAAAACAGACATTCAATACATCCTCCTGTTTTCAGCCCCATTTAATCCTCCAAGTTACACAACTGCAGGTTGTAGCACTCACACAGGAACCCCGGAGCAGCCTCCTCTGAAGCTGGTCATGCCTCAGCTGCTCTTTCCATATGGAACCATACATTGAGATTGCATGAGTGGCTGTGATGTCTGTGTGACACAACATTTGATTCTCTTTGTCTCTATGGTTTATAGAGAAACATCTCTTCACATTGATATGTTTCTCTTCCCTTTCATCTCTCTTACTGTACTAACCATTACCAGATCTTTAACCATAAATTTAGAATTTTAAAAGCAGGATTAACTGTCCCTAGAGGTAACATTTAAGAGAACTGTCCTATTGTCATTGGGAACTCCCTTTAATACTCAGGAGATTTTGTTAAATCTCAATGCCAGCAATACTACTGGAAGTATAAGCTGGAACAACTTTCTAGGGAAGCATTCTGGCAATAAAACACGAATCTTTAACTGTTTCATTCTTGTTCTCAGTAATTCCATTTTTCATGTTGAAGAAATCTTTCTGGGCAAGGCATGGTGGCTTACGCCTGTAATCCCAGAACTTTGGGAGGCCACGGCAGGTGGATCACCTGAGGTCAGGAGTTTTTTTTTTTTTTTTTTTTATGACATCTTCTGCTTTATTTTTCTAGGAAAACAATGCTTTTGCTAAACGTGCACAGGCGTGGGGATGGGAAGGCAGCAGGAGGAGTAAGGGCAGAGGGGCCCCTGCCTGGAGCGGGGAGGCTGACAGCAGCCACAGCCGGGCGTCACTGGCACGGGTTCCTGGTGACCCCTCGCTAGGCGGCCGCATTGCCCAGAACGAAGCCCACGGCCAGGGACACTGTCTTGCAGAAGGCGCCGCGCAGCTGCTCCACGTGCTGGTTCAGGGTCCGCAGCTGGTCGCACAACGGGCCCAGGATGCTCATAAGGCGGTGCGGGTGCCCCAGGGTCAGCAGCAAGGCGGCGTTCAGCGGCCGGGGTGCGCGGTCCTCGGGGCTTCCTGGAGCGCGGGAGGCGTCCACAGACCTCTGAGGGGACCGGTTGAAGCGGGGCGTCCAGGCGGGGTCAGCGTGGGGGCTGCGGGCGGTCGGCAGCGGGGCGGCTGAACATCCCGCAGTCAGGATTTTGTCGTGTGTGTGTGTATTTGTGTGTGTGTGTGTGTGTATTTGTGTGTGTGTATTTGTGTGTGTGTGTATTTGTGTGTGTGTATTTGTGTGTGTGTGTCTGTGTGTGTGTGTGTGTGTGTGTGTGTGTGTGTGTGTGTGTGGCTGCTGGGAGTTTATTTTCTGCTTGGTGTCAGGTGCACAGTTCCAGGTGTCAGGAAAGCTGCTCAGGGCTGGGGCGGGCCGGGTGGTGGAGAGCCGGACCCTCA